GAAATGGTCCAAACTTGTTGGGTTTGATAATATTAGCCAGTGAACCATTCTCCACATACCTTCACAAGGACACTTAGTACATTGGTGTGTGTCCATACTTGTCACACCAAAGAAAAATAATAAATGACAAAGAAGCTCAAAGCTTACTCAAGAATTATGAAAAGATGAGTCTTTGCCTTTAAGGATCCTAGATATTTGACAATATTCTTGTGGTTCAAATTCTGTAAAAAAAGAGATGATTAGATCATAGAAAAAATCCTTATAATTCTTCATTGCAATTTGCTCAGAAAAGTTTAGAGGATGAGTGTGCCATATATTATATCTAAAGCTATAAGAGTGCATACTAACCTTCAGCAAATCAATCTCTTGCTGCATCATCCATGCATCCAATCACAAAAATAGTATTGTCCAAGGAGACCAAGAATGGGGAGTCAAATTTCAAACAAAAAGTAGCATTTAAAAGACAAGAAATTTAAATTTAAGTCAGTAACTATAGATTAAATCAAGTTACCTATGTTAATTCATAAAAGTAGGTCCAACAATATTTAAAAAGAATATTTTAAACATAGCATATCAAAATATAGAGTTAACAAAACTCAATAAACATTCATGGATAGATAGTGATAGAATTTGAACATCAAGATACACACACACACACAACAACAACAACAACAACAACAACAACAACCCAGTTAAATCCCATAAGAGTATGGTCTGGGGAGGGTGTGTGTACGCAGACCTTACCCCTACTCGAAAGTAGAGAGGCTGTTTCCAAAGAGACCCCCGGCTGAACGTCGAAAGTTGCATTGCTTGACTAACTGCTACTTCATTAATTAAAGAAGCGTAGACAGTTTAGAGATCCATTTTGATTTATTCCATCACACCCCAAAGCCAAAAAATGGTGAAATTTTGGCTCCATCGGAGATGATGGAAATACACACACACACACACACACACACATATATATATATAAACATGAAAGAGGGTTAGGTACCCCTTAAAATATGCTCCTTTTCCATCCATAAAACATGTTCATTTAGCTTTAAAAGTTGTACGATGTAATTCACTCCCCACAATGCCCCTAACACCATTTCTCTTAGGATAACTATTTCCAACTTACTTTTAGAGTATGAATCCCATCCAAGGCATTCATTTTCATCTTCAATTCATTGCTAATTAATATCTCAATAATAAATGCTCAAAATAGCCTAAATTACTCGTGGTTTGATTTAGGGAGCCAAAGTTATCCATTGCTTGATTTCTCGTTATGCATCTCCGAAAAAAGATCGTGCATCACCGCTTGATTGCCATCTCACCGTTATTTTTTCAAGAATAAATGTTGATTATTTCCAAATTGACTCCCGAAATAATATTCGACTTCGCTGCGATGCTATCATAGGAATTTCTAGTGCGTGCCTATCGTTTAAAGTTTTCCATTTCCAGATTGAATTTAAAAAATATCAAGTTCACTCTCAATTAAATTATAATAGTGATAATATGTGTTAGAGTATCCAATTTCAATATCTATTTCATTGCAGCTATTTATAATTGATTTAGAGAGATGGGTTGACACATTCTCCACAGCTTTCTTTTAAGTATATCACATGATTCAGTACAAATTTTCAAGTGATTTTATTTTGGTTAATTTATATGTTTTTTCTTTGTTTTCATTACCCTGACACAAAAGTGATTTTATTTTGATTCATGCACCCAATTTTCGTAGTCAACAAGATACAAAATGAACTCACAAAAACAAGGAAGTAAGATACTAATAAAAACAAAGGAGAGTAGGAGACATAAAACCGAAGTGGAAATGGCTAACCATTGTACCCGATATCATATCGATACAGTTTTAAAAAACAATCTTTCCAAAGCCTAAACCTATAAATGTCAACCGCAAAATACTAATTTCCTAGGCCTTGCATTCTTTTTAGTTCTTCTTGGCATGCTTCTCTTCCCCTCAACATTACCATCGCATTTAATTAATCCAAATTTACTTTTACAAAAAATATGAATGAGCCACAAATTTCAATCTATGATATGGCGAGACCTGTCACTTTTCAGCTAAAAAACTACTCGTAATAGTGGTGGCTAAAAACTATCACTTGTGATTTGTGAAAAGATAATATTTCACGAGCATTTTAAAAAAGGGTTGTTTGTACACCAAAAGTACTAAATCTGATCCGGAAAGTGAGGTCTCACCACAACAAGCTATGTGAGAGCATTTCACGCAAGTGTTGCTAACTTACTTCATAGTTTATTTTCTATTTTTATGTGTGATGCTCATTTTCTCAATTACCTCCTCTCTCAATGACACGGGTTCTTCTCAAACAACAGTCATTTGATTTGAATATTATTCTCAATAATACTTGCAAGATCCTACCTGCGAATATAGAAACCTGGAAAATTTGCATTTCTATAGCATATATGCTTTTGATTCACGATAGCTTAGAGAAACCTAAATCCAAGAGGCAAGGACCATGCATTGGGTCGAATTGTCTAAACATGGTTTCCAGAAGCACTCCAATGTTCTCCATGATGAAATAGTATTGCAAAGAATGGATACCAATCATGCCAAATTCCTTTTGCATGGTATATCCCATCCCAATTGAATGAGGCCTCACGGGTATGGGGCATATAAAGAATGACCCTAGTCAGCTTGAACAAATTGTGTAATCCAAATATTTAACCCCATCTTATAGGGAAAATTTGCTTTAATTGGTTTGGTATAACAAAGCTCAAACCTTACAAAAGGATCATCTAGTATCATCCTATAAACAAAATACGTTTCAATCTTTTTCCCTAATTTTTGCTTAAAGTGTTATGGTATATCCCACAGAGGCACATACCAGCAAAAGTGTATTTAATTTTACTTTTGTTGCATTTACTTTTGAGGGTTGGAGCTTGAAGTCAACTTGACGGTTATTGCATTTACTTTTGTTCTCCCATTTTCTGTTTTCTGGTTTTTAATTTTTCATTCCTTTTACTATTTGTCATTTGCAGGAATAGGTGAGGTTGTGATCGTTAAGATTGTCATCGTCTACAGGGGTGGCAGCAAGTGGTGGCAGCAAGTGGTGGCAATGATCACCGGTGATGACAGTGGTCACGAGCTGTGGCAAGGATTGCTAGAGTTGGAAGGGGTTACTAAAAGATAATGCCTTTCACGATTATTATACTTTTCGCATTCTGGTTGGACTACGTGATAGTAAAATTATGTTGTGAAATTATGGTTGCACAGATAATAATGCCAAGTATTGTAGGCAATGTCTCCTGAAGTGCATACATGACTTACATATGTACAGTATAAGCATTTCAAACCCCAAAGCAACTACTACTAAAAAAACCCAAGTCAATACTTAGGGTCAACAGTTAAGTAAGTAAAATTGAATTTGTCATTATCTTGTGTCAAACAATAGAGTTTAGAGGCAATGAAGGACGATACCATAATAATGTTGAGATCCTCCTGAGCGATATTTTCCAACGATACTTGCTTAATTGCAACAAAGTCCCCGTTCTCTAAATCCAAACCTTTATATACTCGGCCGTATGCTCCTTTCCCAATCTCATCTCCAAGCATCTAAACAATCACAGAGAAATACAAAATTTCACACTCCAAGTTTACAAAAAAATGTAGTTCATCATCCTCAACCACAATTTGCAGCTCAAGAGAGCCAAAACTCAAGGATTCAAATCAACAGAAAAAATCCAGGAAATATCAAAAAGTCACAGAAGTATACTAATACGTAGTAATTCAAAACATAAAAAAAAAAAAAAAGAGAGAGTGAAGTATTACGTATTTGTTGTCGAGTGTCTTGGATTTGTGGAAAGCTGTAGAGGTGATTTGTCGAGACATTTTACCAAATTCTCTCCACAGAAATTGTGTTCAGAACAGGCGGGTTAGGGGAAACCCTAGAACCGCTCCATTGTGAGCAAGTGCGATCCGACTACAGAGCTCTTCAAAGCTAAAAAAAAAAACAAAGAACGCTGAAGTAATTGAAGACCAGTCACCAGATGATTTCCGTTACTCTGTAATAATTGTCGTACAACAAGAGCTGATCTGAAGTAGAACATTTGATAGTTTTCGAATTTTAGACATTATTCCTATTAACTCAATTTTATGATTTTTGATGTATAAATTAATCCCGGAGAAAATTACTCCGTACTTGTTAAAAAAAATTATAACTCCCAAAAAACTCGTAATGATTTTTTTATGGTTAAATTTTGACAATTTTTTTAAATATTTTTTTATTGAGTAAATTTCATAAATAGGCTCTAATTATTGGTAATTTTCTATATTTAATTCCTAATTCTAAGAAATTATATAAATAGTCTTTAATTTTTAAAAAAATATTCTATAATTGATCGTTCAGCAGACACACTATATGTGGAAAAAAATATTTTGTCATATTTGGCTCAAAAGGACTATTTATTAGCCTTGGACACGATACCGGTACGAGTACCGCCGATACCCCCACCATCACCAGCGACCGACCCGCTGCTTCGGTTCCGGGGAACCGGTACCGGCATTGCCCCCACGGTACTGGTTCTAGTGGGGGTTTACCGGGGGGTTAGGGGTAGGAACCGTCAATTTTTTGTTAATTTGTTATAAATTAATATTATAATTTCAAAATTCAATATATAATTAATATTTTAAATATTTAATATAGTTCTTTTTAATCAAAATAAAAGTATATTAAAATATCGAGAGAGTCCGGTAGAAGGTCCGTGGATATGAGCGTTGCGAACTGAAGTTCGAGGAAAGGCAAAGCTAAAGCCATCTCCGACGATTCGAGCCCGTGTGGTTCTCAAGGAAGACACTCCGGGGGGTGTATTCAATATTGATTTTGATAGATTTTTTTGGATTTTAAAAGTTGGTAGGTATTCAATTGAGATTTTAAAAAATCATTTAAAATCTAGATGTATTTAATTAAGATTTTGAACAATCTTTTAAAATCTAATGGTATTCAAAAACTTATAGATTTTAAAGAATTTTTATTCCATATGGATTGTGAAAGATTTGCTAGGCTCTAAATAAAAATATTATTACAAATCCGAGCAACAAAGGATAGATTTTGCCGGACTCCTATCGTCTTCCCCTCTTTCCACGATTCATATCCTCTCCCGTTCATCAAAAACCTAATCCAGAGAAATAAAAACCCATAAAAGCAATGATTCATGTATTGAAAATCAACTGAGCAAAAACCCAACTTGGAAACAAGTTTACATCATAGTGCCTAGTGGGACTGTGGGAGAGACCCATTTTGGGTTTCGGATCGAAGAGTTGGGGATGGAGTGCGGACTTTATGGGTTTTTACTTCTCCGAATTAGGTTAGATTTGGAACCCTAATTTGATGCCTTGATTTTTTGTGGATTATAAATAATTGACAAAATCCTATAAAATCTTGTTCATAAAATACACTACAATCTATCTAATTCTGTGTATAAGATCATCCATGAATTTTACAAAATCCATGGATTAAAAATAATCTATCAGAGTCTTTTAAAATCAGGATTAAATACACCCCTTCCGTCTCTTCCTTCCCTACTATCCCTGATCAATTCGTGGGCGACGCCGACGTGGAGCTTACACCGGAGAGCAACAATCCTACCAATGCCAACGAGGAGGAAGGTGAGCCCGAGACCTCTCAAGGCACAAGGAAAGGTAAAAAATTAAAATCTGATATATTTATTTATCATTTTTCAGAAGAAACAAAAAATGGTGAAGTTTTTGGAACTCTTAATTATTGTGGCACCGTCATGATGGTCCGGAAAAGCACCTAAGGGCGAGGCACCCCGTGGAGTACGCCAAATACTCGGCGAAAAAGAAGGAACGACAAGAAGTGCAAACCCAAATTTTTCAGTTTGCTAACATGGGTAAGGTGGCCTTTTTGCTTATAACGACGAGCGAAATAATCAAAAAATGGCTAAAATAATTTGTAAAGAAAAATTTGCCATACATGTTTTTTTGAAAAAACTTGAATTTATTAATTATTGTCAAAATGCATTAAACCCTCAAGGAAGAGGTTTTTCAAGAAAAACAATTAAGAGAGAAATTATACGACAATATAAAATTGAAAAAATGAATTTGAAATTTTTTTCCTAAATTTTAATTCTTGTGTTACTATTTGTTCAGATATTTAGATTGAAACATATTATAATTTGTCTTATTATATGGGTGTTACTTGTCATTGGATAGATAATGATTGGATTATGCATAGACGTATGCTTGCATTTTGTGATTTCAATGATTCTCATACCGCTGAAAATATTTTTCTATTGCTTGAGCGTATTCTACAAGAATACAATTTAGTTTATAAAGTGTTTGCATTTGGTTTTGATAATGCTACTAATAATACTGCTGCTATTGCTAGACTTAAAAAATTTGCCCCCTACTACGAGTATGGGTAGCTTTCTGCATCAAAGGTGTGCTTGTCATATTTTAAATCTATGTGTTCAACAGGGATTAGAAAGTATGGGGGTTGACGAATATTAGAAATGGAATTAAAAAGATTTGGGGTAGTCGTATTATACAAAAGCCTGGAAGTTATACTATAAATCTAGGGATAGGAGAGCATTAACATTTGTTAAAGATATCACCCTTAGATGGAATTGTACATACAAGTTGATAGCACAGATTTTAAACTACAAAGAGGAACTTGCTGCATTTCTTAGGAATGAACTTCGTTTTATGATTTCATTGAATGAATTTGTTATTGTTAAAAAATTTAATGCCGCATTAGAAGTTTGAATAACACAATTCTTACTTTCTCACATGTTTACCAACCATCTACAAATAATTTTTTTAAAGAGTGTGTTATAATTGCAACATGTTTTAGTGAGAATTTAGCTAATCTAGAGTTGTACCCCTATGTCTCTCCTATGAGGAATAAATGATGTGCTTATTATTCGTACATTCCTGATATTTATAAAATTCGTATTATTTATGATCCTCACTTTAAGATTGAAAATTTTAAAATTCTGATTTTACTACGACCATTTAATAAAATAGACAAAAGAAAGAGATAATGCTATTGATATTTTTGAGGCTTTATTTAAAGAATTTCAAGGAATATGCGGTAATGCACAAGAAGAAACAACATGTCCTCCGCCCCCAAAGCAAAAAAAGGGTTTAAAGGGATAGTAGGTGGGCTTTTGGCAAAAAAGTAAGTGTGGTCAGCCTTCGTCGAGCTCAGGTGGTACAACTGTAAGCTCGCACAACGAACTTGCTATGTACCAAGGGGTGCCATGCGATTACGACGACGACAACGACGTAGACTTTGACGTCCTCGCATGGTGGAAGCGGAACGAACACATATTCCCATGTATCGGGATGCTAGCCAGACAAGTTTTATCCGCCCAGGTATCAACTGTAGCTGTGGAACAAGAATTCAGTTCTAGCAGCAACATTCTAATCGACTACCGAAGTTGTATTAGCACTGAATTTCTTGAAATACTTATTTGAAACCGAGATTGGCTCTTGGCAAGACGTCGAGCTCAAGAGTCAGGGTACAAATTCAATTTTGAACATTACATGAATGCAACCATAGAAGGAAGCCCTAGTTCTGATGAATAAGTTATAAACTTTTTTTATGTTAATGTAATTAGTTTGTTTAGGTGAACGATATATAAACTCCTTTGAGGGTTTCTTTACGGTTCTTTACCTCGTCACTTTTTTTAAACCGTTAGGATATTAAATTTACTTGTTCGTGTATTAGTATTACTCATTTTTCAATATTTAAATAACAATTATATTTTTAGATTGTTTATTTCATTGTTTGATTTATTTTCTTTAACAATTACACATTTACACTTTTAAAATTTAAAAAAAAGGGGGGTTGCCGAAACCGGCCGATACGGTACCCGGAACCGCCGGTACAAGTACCGGAACCGATACCGTCCGGTCCGGTGACGGTAACGGTACCTAAGGGTGGCGCCGTGGCGGTACCGGAACCATCCTGAACCGTACCGTGTCCACCCCTATTCAAAGCACGGATCCACTACAATTGATTTGTTGGAGAAAGAAGGATACACCCCGATTCAAAGCAAGGATACTACAATTTGTTTGATTAGGAAGACGACACGTTGAAGAAGGAGAGAAGATGAAGGTTGAAAGTGAAGGACCTGCACCTCATGGACCAGAGACGGAAGAAAAGTCCCGAAAATCCATACATTTTTTGTGAGATTTGTAAATAGGTTTAAATTTATACTGGAACCTACAAAATCCTTCAAAATTCATGTTTTATAAAAAAAATTGAAAATCTACCAATTTTTTAATACCCTTAGATCCTTAAATTTGAGAAGGATATTTGAAAATCTTAATTGAATACATCTATTTTTAAAAAATAAATTCTATAATTGGTCCTTTATAACATGAGGGTTTCCATATTTAGTCCTTTATTATCAAATATTATCCCCGTAATCCTTTTTTTAAGGGTACCTTTCCAAAAATGGTCTTTTTTTTGATTTCTTGTCGTGTTAGTGTTAATTTAAAGGCTAAAAGTATAATTTGACATCAACATTATGTCTAGTGACGTGTTCTGATATTGGTTAAGCGGATAACACAAAAAGAATGACTATGATTATGAGCTAAGACTCTGACGAAAGATCACATTTGTAGACTATCGTTGTCGTAAAAAGCGACTGTAATTCAAAAATGACGCAAACTAAACAGCCTTTGGAATTGTGTATGACAAAAAAGATATATTATCATTGTGAAATTACACTTTTAGCCCTCAAATTAACACCAACATGATAGAAGATCAAAAAAAGGACTATTTGTGGAAAGGTGCCCATAAAAGAAGGACCACTGGGATAATATTTGATAATAGAGGACTAAATAGGGAAACCCCCTTGTTATAAAGGACCAATTATAGAATTTACTCAATTTTAAATGACTTTTTAAAATCTCAATTTGATACTCATAGATTCTTAAAATTCAAAAAAATCTTAAAAAGTCTAGATTGAATACATCTCCGTTAGTTTTTCTTGTTTAGTTAGAGAGGAAATGAAAGAAAAGTAGAAGGTTAAGAAAATGAGAAAACAAAATGTATCAAGAGGAGGAAAATCAAATTCCTCCCATCCTGGTGAGGAAAATGATAAAACTACTTTCCTTTCATTTCCTTCCAAATTATATGAACCAAATGACATGCATAATGTTAGATTTTGAATTGAAAAAAAAACAAGAAAATAAAGTTGTATATTCGAAAGGGAAAAAAAAAAGAGGAAAGGTGGTATTCATTTGTAGACGGCTTTTAGCTACCTAAACTTATACAGCTTTTAGCCTACCTCCTTCCAAACATAGCCTAAGCACTTTGAAAAAGTTCTATCTGAGTTCAAGGGGGGAAAAACTGCTGGGGAGAGAAGCAAGTGCTTACGCAGGTGAACTGATGGTTACGAGAAAAACTGTACATGGCACATTAAGCGCATGTTTGCTTAATGAAGGAGCACCAATCATAAAATGGATGGCCAGTAAATTCCTTTTTGTTCAGCATCAGATGAATTTTTGCTCTTACCTTTACGGTTTCTCGTGACATTATCTATATCAGGAGATTTTGAATGAGAATTTGACTGCTTGGTAGTCTTGAAGTCTCTGTTGAGAAAGATATCGCGATGATCGAGCTTGGTGGGGCCAGCAGGATGAACATGTGGAATGTTATGCAGCTCTGTGTCACTAACTCTCTGGACTGTACGGATGGGAGTGGCCAATCGAGCTTGGTGGTGTCGAATAACTCCCAGTAGATCCATCAGTATGGCTTCCTAGATGGAAACAAATGAGCTCAGTAAATAAGATAGACATTTCAGGATTAAAGTGAAAGGATAGTAGCAATGTGTCTTCACCTTTACACAGAGGTACTCTTCAGTGCGCGAGGTCTTTACAAAGCAAGATACCAGGATCTGCAATTCAGGTGAAATAAGAAACGCACGATTCTTTCAAAAGAAAGGGGGAAATGCAGTTTTAAAAGAGGGAAAAAATTGCCATAACAAATTAACAATAGAGGTAAGAATTAAAACTGACGGTCAAAGCCTGATTATCTGGATTAATGTTGTCCAGGAACACTCTCCTATGCAACTTCTTTTGTTCTACCTGAGGATTCTTTGCCAAAACTTTCCGCATGTCGGCAACAATATTCTGTAAAAAAGATGGTATCATGCATTATTTGAGCCATAATCCAGTTCCAATGCACTGGAGCAGACTCGTACTTCTTTACAGACTTACTTTAATTTTCCTGAAATCCAGATGACTGATAGCCAGGTAAGTTTTGATACGCCAATGGCTTTTGTGGCTGAGATTCCTCACAATCTTAGCGGTAAACTGATGGTTTGGAACATAAACAGCTTCCCCATATTCACCTCTTATAATTGTTGGTGACCACCAGCCCACATGCTACCATACCAAGGACGAACAATTTTATTTTCACAAATAACACAAAGAATCATCTTTTGCAATGTTTTAGCTTCGGGTAAATAATTGATAAAATCAAAATGGCATAATAAAGTATTAAACTTTCCCTTGTTTCCTACTTTCCTATGATGTAAGGGGAAGTAAATGCAGCAATGCATCAAGGGTCTACCGGAAACAGAGTGTTTTTTATAGGGGGGTATGGTTGCGTACATCTAGACCCCCAAGACCCCAATGGAGGGGATTATACTAGGTTTTTTGCCGCTAGTGTTGTTGTTGTTACAAATAACACAAAGATGGAATACAAGGAACGATATCTTATGGATGACCTTCTAGCTATGATACATCAATGAAAAGAATTACTAGGCATCTGCTAGATTTATTAGTCAGGGAATGTAAACCAAATACAGATTAATAGTAATTATAGAGCTTAAACAACAACAACCACAACAAAGCCTTAAAACATCATTATAGAGCTTGAACAATCTCTTTATTTTTCTAATCCCATTTAAGTTTGGATGTACAACCAAGTAAAACAGTTGTATTACGAGAAAAATAAACAAACCTCAACAGCTCCAGAAACCTCTGTGCCTTTAATCGTAGTTCGAATCACATCATTCACAACAAAAGGCCGAGTCACATGGATCATTACACTTGAAATGAAATTGGTCAAGACCTGGACATGACAAAATGAAAGAATCAACAACAAAGAGAATGTTCAATGTTTCAATGTAAGTATCTATACACTCATATCTGAAGATGATGACTGAAGCTAGAACTATCAAACACACAAGAAGGTTTGAAGCATACCTCACGACAAGCAAGAGTAAGTAGCACTGTCCCAAGCCCTCCAACAGTGAGCAACTTCTTGGTAGAGAAACCTAGCAATTCAATAAACAATAACACTGCAGCAACCCATACGGCAGCGTATAAGGCTGTTCCTGCACACTGGAATCCCACCTACAAGAAGACACATAGATACTGTGAAAACCTTTAGTGCAGAACGTCAATGAAATAAAATTGAAGAGGCGAGCATCTAAGGCCGAAGACCGCCACCCCTAAAAAAAACACAATGGCAAAACAACCTACACAAGTGATGAAAAATGAAATGATGATATCAAAGTTTTTTTCTGTAAGTTCTATAATATAGTTATATGGTTGATCAATAATTTATGGATATAAAATCATAATTAAGAACAGAAATAGATGAAAAGCTATGTGGTGTACGTTTCTAGTATCAGAGGGACTAATTGTGTCCATGAAAAGCTTTTGCACCTGCTGAATTACACTGCAGTAAATATTCAAGATTTTAGTCTAAAAAGTAAAAAGCATTATCTTCGGACCACAATGTCTAATGAATTGACAGCATCTCAGGCTATGAACTTCCATTGCAAGAATCACAGGTCTCTTACCAAGACAAACAATAAGCCAAAGCTAACACTGTTGACAGTGATCTGACAAAATATAGAAGGTGCTGCTTAATTATTTGGCTAGCTTCTGTTGGAAGCATCATTGGATCCAATGCTCTGCATGATTTTAAAAAAAACCATAAAATACCCACATGAATGTGGTACTAAAAATAGGGCATGTGTACTTGATTGCATTAGCCAGGGAAGCAATGCAATTGCACTAGCTGACCTGCAAAGTAGCATTGCTCCAGTCCACAACAGAAAAGGTTGAAGGTAAGAGGTCATAAAAAAATAAGTGCCACTCTTGTCCCAATTGCTGTTACTCTTCTACAGATAATATGAAAAATTCTAATAAAATCCAAGTTATCAAGTCAGGATTGAACATGAAATGCAACCAAAAAACTCACATGAATGAATACATTTCTACCAAGGCGCAAAAGTGGTCCCACACCCAATACACAAAAAGTAATGGTACCAACTGCTGGAATCAGCTTAAAAACAGTACTTCTAACGTCTAAACCATTATATGATCTGCATGAAAAAAGATCTTAACCATTATATGATCTGCATGAAATAAGATCTATATCAAGATTTCATAAAGTTGTATTACAACAAATCAATCAAGTCAACAGTCTTTAACAATGAACAGATGAACTCAAGTGTGCCATTGTAAACATGACACAATGGAAGTCAATACCTTGCCAGTGTTGAAGCAACACTCTTTATATATGGAATGTCAGGGGGTTGGCTAGGTGTTAAGAAAGAATTACAGCTAAATGGATAGTATCTGCATTCAAGAGCATGTCTTTGAAATCGTACACTTTGTGAGAGATGAATACTCCAAAAAGCAGGCTTCTGAAAATGGAAGAAGTAATTTGTCAGATGCATACATACAAATCCAAGAATACAGAGATCGAGAAACAGTTACTAATCTCCAGTTCAGTGTGAACAAGTCCCCTGGATAACCACAGAGTTAATAGGGGCCCTAAACTGTTCATAATGCATACATAAACAATGTTCTAGTCATTAAAGTGAAGAGTAAGTTGAAATGTGGTAATCAATGTCTCAAAACTAAAAAACAGTAACTAGTGTTTTTATTTCGTACTAGAACCCCAACTATCCGAATTCTCACTATGATAAATTGAAGAATGTGAGTGTTGTAACTATCTCATGGAGGTGCATTTTGAAAATCACTCTTTGGACTTAACTTTTTGAGTGGACAAAAATACTTTTATGTGTAGCAATAAACACTTAAAATTGCCAACAAGTGAGCAAAATTTTGGCGGTGATAATTCTAGCGAAAATATAATCAGTTTTATATATATTCTACTTCTCGATGAAAGTATGGATATGTAATTATAATACGAAGGTAGTCTCATAAGTTTTCTAATGACATCAAAGGCGACAATGAAAAGGATGACATTGAACCGTCTGTGCTTCTTTTACCAAAATGACACTTTAAACCGTCTGTGCTTCTTTTAGTAGTGCAGTAGCAGTTGGTCAATGCAACTTTCGACGCTCATCATGGTCGCCTGGAAACAGCCGCTCTATGTTTTGAACACATGGGTCAGACTACGTACATTCAACCCCCCATTACCCCATAATGGGCGAGCCTTTGAGGCACTGGGGTAATGTAAATGTTGTTGTGGTTTGCGAAAATGAAACCTTCACAGTTCACACCACGGAATTTTGTCTTTGATACCAATGTGAAAATATTATCAGGGTTTTATATCTATTTTATCTCTTGAAGTCACAAGACACAAGTATTTATACCACTACACTTTTGCTCAGGACTGACAAAAATCCTCCGAGTGGAAGAAAATATTTCTCAGGGGTATATGCTCAAGCCATGCAAATGCATTGCAGAATGGTCACAAATGCAACTGATGGAAGCAACTGAGATGAATATGAAAGGTTGAAATAAACTATTTCAGAGGATTGAGGATTCTGTGCGTGTGAGCTTTTACATGAGAAATCATTAGGTCTTTCCTGATTCTATATGGATTCCAATCCTATTAAACTCCATGTTTCTTATGGACTTGGGGTTTCTAGTATACATTTATGTTTAAGCATAATGAAGTGGATGTCCATCACAAATGATCTTCCAGTTCATTTGGATGAATCATATTTTCATTTCAAGTGAGCTAAGTATTCATTTAATGGTTAAATAAGCATGAAAGTCAAATGAATATTTCAATAAATTACATAGTAATTCTTTATACTCCTGAGGAGTGCAATTTAACAATTGCTTTGTGTACAGGGCATCAGGGCATAGAACTCATAGAGGTTTACAGTATTCGAAATCTCAATGCTACTCTAACTTTACTAAGTACTAGCCGGATCAAAACACTATTTGTTAATATTGCAATGTCAATTGTGTAATGAGACATGACTAATTGACTATAAAACTTATTTGAACTCATCCAGTAATTTGCATGCAAGTGGAAAAGAACCTAAGGCAAAATTTTGAAATATAACTCACAATTCTTTAGTGTAAAACTCTGATACTTTCTTTTTGCATGAATTTGTTGGGTGAACATCACCCTTTGTTTCATAATACTTGTTTCACATCTTTTGCCCGCTTCATAATATTTTGTCCTGGTCCATTTTTTGAAATACTCCGTAACAATTTAATAAACCTGCCCATTCTGACCCACCATTCTTTTCCTCATCGGCCTTTCTCCTCTCATCCCACTTTTCTGATTATCATCTTACTTTTGAAAAGTTATTTGCTAACACAAGTGTGGCCACTATTTTGAATGGCCGGAGTAACCATAGACTAATATTGGAGAAATTCAAATATTGATGATGAACGGTTTCACATATGAATACAATGACCTCATACAAAGATCCCGTCCATTAAATCAAGCATGAAGCCCGTACCATAGCTAGTGATGACAATTTCCTGCTAGTCCTACACAATTTTCTCTTTTGAAAAACACACTGCAGCAATACAAACTTAGCACAATAGTTAATCAATCTCAGCAATGACAATGGTCGCATAGGGTAGCATACTAAAACACACGGAAAGCATGATATCAAAAAATACCTTTACAGAGAACCTGTGGGTGCAAGTTCCCAAATCATGGGATAATTTAGAAAAATCAACCAACCACATTTGGGCCTGTTTGGCAAATAGCAAATACGGAGTAGCATTTAAGACTTTGTATTAGCAAGTTGACTAGTAGCTAGCAGTTTTAAAAATAAAGTTTGATAACTTGGTAAAATGCTACAAAAATAAACTAAAATGCGAACAACAATATGTTACTCCTTATTTTTAAAATGCTAATATGATCCTATTAGCATTTTGAAACCAGCATTTTCCTTAGCATATTGCTAATAATCCACCACCACAACAACGAGCTATGCTTGGAGTCATGGAGTGAAGACGTATGGCTGTACGCAGCTTACTCCGTAAAAAACAAAGACAATTTTGTTAGACCCTATGCATTTACTACTCAAAACTTCATAGAGAGTTAGAAGCATAGGAAATTTAATGTGTCATTTCAGTCTATTATTCACCCTAAGCTAAAACATCGTCAAAAAATGACTCTATGTGTCATGATCCAATTGCAATTGACTCAAAACGTTAATCAACCAACCGATCAAACAGGAAGTTTTCGGTCAAAATACTACTAATAAACAGCATACTGCTCAGGATTATGCTGATGATCAATCATGATTATCCCACTAAGCTGATGAAGCAATGGAATACCATAAGATGACTGTCCTCTCAGAACCGTTGCGGAATTGATCTGCTTCAATTTCTTGAGCCAAAAGAACAAAAAAACGCTTTCCCGAGCTTTTAGATGCACTGCTTGAACATGGGAAAAACAGCCCTTAATCATATCATGGAGTTTGTTTATATTGATTTGGGACGAAAACTTGTGTATTCAACTTAGAATTTAAGGGATTATCTTAGATTTTTTATAATCAATGGATTCTATACAATCCATTTATTCTTTTAATTTGGTATGGACTTGGAAAGATTTTAATGTATTTCATGATCAAGATTTGTGTAGAATCTAAAAAGTCTATAGATTGTTGAATTGTTCCATAATCAACTGGCCTTCGTCTCTTGGCCTTCCAATACCTTCCTCTTGCCTTACAAGGTAAAGGAACAATAAAAATCTGAAACAAGAAAGCCATGGTAGCAAGTAGCGACTAGCAGCAACTAGGGATTGACTTTGGGAAAAAATAAAATAAACACTTCTTGTAAATTGCAGATGTCTATGGAAAACCAATAAAAACAAAAAACACTTTAAAAAATAAACACAAAAGCCATGGTAGGAGCCCAACTCCCCAAATCGTCGTTATCATCAAGAATTCACGATCTATGAATCTGACCCAGATCTTTACTTGCAACTATAAGACCTCGCCGGAATTAGATGCCCTTATCGTAACTGCCGCCGACGACCCTGTTCCAATCGTCTCCTGATCTCCCTCGACAGACTTTCACCGGAAAGAATACATCAAAATCTTTCGAATTATGATGAGATTTCAACCAACCTTCTTATTTATATTAAGCACCCTAAAATCCATCAGAATCTGTCCTCCATGAAATTCTTTGAAAATCCAAGATTTTTTCAATACCGTTGGATTTTAAAGGATTATATAAAATCTAAATTGAATACAACAAGATTTTAAATGATTTTTTTAAATCCGGATTGAATACACAAAAGGAGAATGCGAAGAAAGCGAACCTTGAAACGTTAGGCGTCCGGGTTGGAAGAATTTATGGAAAAGGGCTGAAAAAGGTTGGAATTTATGAGAATGCCCTCCTAGATCTAACAGAGAATGGCGTGAGGCGCGTCCTCTCTACTTGCGTAAAATGAGGGGAAATGACAGAAAGGCCCTTCCAAACAAGAAACAAAATGTCACTGTTTATTCCCGTTACTTCAAAAAGTTAACGGAAATATTAAAATTAACGACGAGCCGTTAGGTTGCCTTCGAAGCGTCACGATGATTTTTAGAAAGGTCAAACGGCGTCGTTTGAAGCGCCAACCCCTCCTTAATACCCCGACCAGGCTTCGGAAACGATACGCCTTCATCAATCGAAGCTCTTCTGCTCTTCGTTCTACATTGCTTACCGTCGTCGGATACCTTCAAGAACTACCACACACCTCTTTGCCATGGAGAACACCGGAGCAAGTAGCGGGTTCCAGTACAAGAGAAGAAGAATTCTAACCCAAACACAAAGGGAGGAGATGGAGAATGAAAACCAGGTATTTTCAAATAATTCTTACTTAAAATTAACCAATTTTTGTTTACCTGTTGAAATATTTGGGATTGGTGTCAGATTTCTGCTGAGGTAACTCCATCTGTGGATGGTCAATCGTTCCTGGATGCTGCGGAAATTGAGGTGCATTGCATGTACACTAAAATATAACATTTAAAGTATTTTGTTTGTTTTTTTGAAACATTCGGACACAGAACAAGTTATTCGACCATGGAGATAATCAATATAATGTTACAGTAATTGGTTACAGTCGAATGCAGTCGAATCTATTTTTTGATTACTTCTTGATTTTAATTCTAGGTTCCAGCGTTGGCTTGCACCATTGATATTGATAAAATACCTGGAATGAAGTTAAC